TTGGGGACTACTGGTCGCACACCGGTGGGTACCTCGTGCGACGCGGCGTCAAATTCTTGAAGCAGGGAGAGGTACTGGTGGTTTAATTATTTATTTTAAATTGGTTTGTGCATTACGCTGCGGTAGGCATCGTGTGTGACCTAGTGCAGATTGTGCGCAGTTCTGTAGCTTATGAGCGACAAGGAGGAAACAAGAGAGGACGACAGGATCCTGCGATCAGCGAGGCGCCCGATAGCCCACTTGGCATTAGGACCAGAGGGTGACAAATTCCTGTTCCGCCAGCAAAGAGAGAGGCAGCAGCAGCAGCGAAGAGCTAGGGCCGCAGAGGCAAGCAGGGCATTCGCAAGCGAGGCCGCTACTTCAGCATCCATGGCAACTGCTGTGCAGCCGAGCTCTCAGGCTAGTAGTTCAGGGACTGTAGGGTCAATGGTCGCACAGAGTCCGATGGCGTCATGGCAAGCCAGCCGTTAGTATTGATCGCTGAAGAGGTCGCCATACAACAAGCAAATGCTCAGGAGGCACAACTACAAAAGGCATTAGGAGAGATAAAGGCATAAAAAAAAAAAAGAATGATCAGGAGAAGAGCAAGGATGCAGCGGCGACAAGCGGACATTAGTGAGTAAGAGGAGATGGACCTGACAAACATGGATGATGATGTGAGGACCCTGAGGACGGTCTTGCTAGATGTAGTAGAAATGCAGGATCACCAAGTGGCACTCTTACAAGAAATCCAACAGAGCCTGGCCGTGGTGGTCGGGCGAGCTCAGGCAGCACCATCACCATCAGGGCCTGGTGCCTGGCCCGTGGTACAACTCCCTCTTGTCCCACCGGTGACTGGGGTATCCCCATTTGTAATCCCCCCAGCATCGGTCCAAGTCGTTTCCCTAGGTTTGCCATTGACAAGAGGGTTCTCAACATGTCCTAGCGTACAGATTCTTGTACAGACAGTGTATTCCGAACCTCCGACGCAGGTTGCCGTAACTGGGCAGCCTGCTGTCTCGCAGCCAACACAACCGCTGGGCACACAGCCCCAACAACAGTTAGTGCAGCAGCCTGCGCCCCAGGGTCTACAGTCGGGAGTGGGGCAGGTACCGAGACAAGGCCAGTGGGTTCCAAAGACGGCCATCGCCGCACCCAAACCCTTCTCAGGGGACAAGAGGGGTGAAGACCTCGACACATGGTCGAGGTCAATGCATGTCTACGTGAAGGACAAGTTGACCTTGCCACGCGAGAAAGTGCTTGTGGCTGCTTCCTATCTCGAGGGGAGCGCAACACAATGGTTAAGCGGGTTAGTGCAACTGCAAGGATATGGACACGACTTCCGCGCTTGGGCAGTCAACCAGAAACTGGAAGACTTTCTCAAGATGGTGGAGGATAGATGGCATGATCCTCAGGAGGCCCAAAAGGTCACTGATGCGATCCCGATTTTGAGCAATAGACCGTTCAAGTCAGTGAGGGATGCCACATACGCTGTAGAGTGTCTGATCTATGTTCTTGGAGTACGTGCCCAAGTCTTATTGACAACTTACCTGAGGTGTCTTCCCATGCCACTGAGGAATCAATTGGCAGGAGAGGTTAACATCAATGTGCACAACTTTCCTTCGTTTAGCAAGAAGGCCCTAGACATGGATGCAAAGATAGGGCACAGGCACCAACCCACTACAGATGGAAGGAAGAAACATTATCTCCCAACTGGAAGGTAAAGGGTCGCATAATGTTCGTCGACAACGATGGATCCACCATCGAGTTGGATGACGACTTCCATGAGGGAGTAGGTGCAGAGGCGGGCAGCGTAGAAGCTTCAGGGGGKGGAGCAGTCTCTGCCTCAGTTCAAAAAGGCAAGGCGACCGGTAGACGCTGTGGAGGCTCCCGGTCTAGGAGTCAAGTAGACCCCAATGCTCCTCCATGGGAAAAAGCGGGTCTCACTGAGGACGTGTGGAGAGATCGGTATACTCGGCAGGCTTGTATCCGTTGTGGCCAATATGGTGATAATCAGTTCAAATGTCGAAACAAGAAGGTGGCCGAGAAGATCCCACCTACAATGGGGCAGGCAATGGGATCCTCCGCTTCCGTAGGTAGCAATGTCGCCAACAGTTCTGGCACAACTCCGGGAAACACGTTGGGCCAGTAGGAATAGTAGCTGTTCCTGCTAGGGTCAAGGTGGTGGATAGACCCTCACCATCTCGAGAGATGGCCCAAGCTACAGACTCCATTGTCGTCCCGCAAACACATTCGGACCCATCGATCCTTTGTTCGATGAATATGTTTGAATCCTTGGAGGAGCTAGAGGAGGAGTCTAAATCAAACCTGCTAGCTTCTTGGACGACCATGGCCAAAGCCCCTAAGGGTGAATTGTTTGCCAGCGAGGTAGTCATCGGCGGCCGCAAGGCCGGGGCCTATTATGACACTTGTTCGACGCAAAAACTTTATCAGTCGCACGTGTGTTGAGAGCCTGCGCCTACAGGGGCAAGTGCAACGCCTGAGTCGACCTGTGGAGTTGACATGTGTCAAACAAACAGCGCATGGTAATCAATGACTACCTTAAAGACGTTGAGTGTTGTTTCCCATACGCGGGAGGGGAACTAAGACATCGCGTGTCGTTCCTAGTCAGTGATGATCTCCCAATGGACATCCTGTTGGGTATGTAATATCTTTCGGTTGCACAACCCCAGTTTGTCAGGGACGGAAAAGTGGTCAAACACGCTTTGCCCGGTGGGGGGACCGCTAGATTACGTAAGTTTAAGGCTAGTAGTCTGATCAAGTCCTACGGATGCATGTGTGCGGCCGCGTTCTACAATTATTATAAGCAAAATCCGGAGGAGGGTATGCATCTAGTTTATGTCTCTGCAGCAGTCGAGCCGGTGAAAATGCCGCCGGAGATAGAGGGAGCAGTCACTAAGTACCCTGATCTATTTGAAGATCCGAAAGGGGTTGATGAGAGGGAGGTCGTCCACGCGATAGAGATTATCCCAGGGTCTAGTATTCTGAAGGGTAGGATCTATCGGATGTCTCCAGCCGAGCTCGATGAGCTTCGCCGACAACTCAAGGAACTCATTGAGAAGGGTTGGATCCGGCCGAGCGTTTCCCCTTACGGATCTGCTGTCTTATTTGTCCCGAAGGGGGGGAACCTTGAGGATGTGCCTCAATTCCATCACTGTCAAAAATAGAGAGCCCCTGCCACGCATCGATGACTTACTGGACAGAGTGCAAGGGTGTCGGTACTTCAGTAAGATAGATTTGAAGTCTGGGTACCATCAGATTGCAATACGGCCCGAGGATCAACACAAAACCGCTTTTCAGACCAGGTACGGTCTGTACGAGTTTGTGGTGATGCCTTTCGGCCTTTGCAATGCTCCTGGCACCTTTCAGCATGCCATGAATCGGATCTTTCATGACTACTTGGACAAGTTTGTCATCGTGTACCTTGATGACATACTTATCTTCGGTAGGATTGTCGAGGAGCACATTGGTCACTTAGATAAAGTCCTTAGTCTCCTACGACAACACCAATTCACGATCAATGGGGAGAAATGTGAGTTTGGCCGCACCCGGATCTTGTACCTAGGTCATGAGATTTTTGCGGAGGGATTGAAGCCCGATGACGCGAAGGTGGCCAGCATTTGTGACTGGCTGCGTCCTCAGTCTGTGACTAAGATGTGGTCCTTCCTAGGGATGACCGGTTACTACCGCAATTTCGTTAAGAACTATAGCATAGTGGTCGCCCCTTTGACGGACCTGACCCGCCTTGACACCCCATGGGAGTGGACAGACAGGTGTGAGGATGCTTTCAAACATTTGAAGCATGCTTTGACACACCATGGGGTTTTGAAACTTCCTGATCTTGACAAGCCATTTATAGTAACCACGGATGCTGGCCAATATGGCATAGGCGTCGTGCTCCCGCAGCAGGAGGGGCCAAAGTTGAGGCTTGTCGAGTACATGTCCAAAAAGATGCCCTCTCAGAAGTTGGGTAAGTCCACCTATGAGAAGGAGCTCTATGCGATTTATAAGGGGCTAACCCACTGGAGGCACTACCTCCTTGGGAGGTTCTTCTACGTCAGGACTGATCACCAGACCTTAAAGTGGATGAGAACCCAGCCAGTGCTCTCTGACGCAATAAAAAGATGGATCGAAGTCATTGAACAATATGACTTCGAGCCTCGATACATCAAAGGAGAGTACAACAAAGTTGCTGATGCGCGGTCGCGTAGGCCAGACTACCTTGGTGCGCTGATAATTGAGTTTGGGCTTGTTGACGATGTCACTTGTTCTTTGGTGGAAGCCTATGGCGAGGATCCGTTTATGGCTGAGATCATACACTCGAGGCGAAGGACAAAGCGACTTCTGCCGAGTTTGAGTTGGTCAACGGCCAGCTGTTCCTTGAGAAGGTCGGGAATAAACGATTGTGTGTGCCTAATCGGGAGTCTTTGTGTAGTTTATTTTTAGGTGAGTGTCACGATGCCACATGACATTTTGGCTATAAAACGACCGCAGCCAACTTGCGGCAGCAGTTCTGGTGGCCCGCAATGATGAGAGACGTCAAGCTGTATGTGGAGACTTGTCAGGTATGTCAAAGAGACAAGGCATGTTCACAGGCCCCTCTTGGGCTTCTCAAGCCCATTCCGATACCGGAAAGGCCCGGTGAGAGCCTGTCCATGGACTTCATGGACACGCTGGTCACCAGCAAGAGTGGAATGTGATATGTCTATGTCATTGTGGATAGGTTTAGTAAGTGAGTGGAATGCGATATGTCTATGTCATTGTGGATAGGTTTAGTAAGTATGTTAGGTTAGTCGCAATGCCTGCAACAGCCAAGACTGAGTACGTAATCAAGCTGTTCAAGGAAAACTGGGTCAGAGATTTTGGATTGCCAAAGTCTATTGTGAGTGACCGGGACGTGCGATTTACTAGTGAACTGTGGAAGGCTGCAGCTGCAGAACAGGGTACACAGCTGCAGATGACCTCCAGGAACCACCCAGAGGCAAACGGGCAAGCAGAGCAGCTGAATCGCGCTTTACAACACCCGTTGAGGCACTACATTAAGCCCAACCAGGTGGACTGGGATGAGAAACTGGCTCTCATCGCCAGCCTGTACAACAATGTTGTGCACAGCTCAACAGGGGTGAGTCCAAACAGCCTGCCACTGACATTCAAGCCTAGACTGCCTCTAGACTTCCTACTACCCGAAAATCAGCCGACAGCTGCACCTGGTACACTAGAATTTGCATATCGATATGAACAGTTGATGCAGCAAGCTGTAGAACAGATGCACAGGGCACAGGTGGCGATGATAGAGTCTGAGAACAAACACCGCCGCCCATCTACATTCCAGGTAGGGGACAGAGTCTGGGTCAAGTCCTCAAAACTAGAGCACGGGATATCCCATAAGCTTATGCCACAGTTCTTTTGACCCTGGGAGGTTCTGGATATTGTCGGGGATGATCCGGACAGGCCGTCATATGTAGTTGAGATCCCTGGTCACCTTCGCACTTACCCTGTCTTTCATGCCTCCAAGCTTGCACCTTCCAAGGAAACTGATCAGTTTCCCTCGCGACGCTCAATGCCGCCACCAACCATGGATGGAGAGGTCGACATCGATGACATCGTGGACCACAGGGAAATGCCAGTCCCAAGACCTTCAGGTAGAGGACGTCCTCCGAAGCCGAAGCTGCAGTACCGCGTTCGGTTCAGACATCATACTGATCCAAAGGAGGATAGATGGTTTACTCAGGAGGAACTGATGCAGACCGCCCCACAGGTTATCACCCACTACAAGAAGTTGCTGCAGAAAGGAAAGCGCCAGATTGAGTAATGGAACTTCTCAGAGGACTGTCGAAGTATGGAGGAGGGAATGCGAGGCTCAAGGCCTCGATAAGCCCTACAGGGCCCTCTTTTCAGTACAGTCGGCCGCCCTAATTGAAGGCAGGCCCGACCAAGGCCTATTTTGGGGTATCCACGCTACTGGGGAAATTCAGGCAGTTGCGCAGCGCCAGTTGGTTGAAAGCGCCCAGGCCATGCTACTTTTATCAAATGCATCTGAGTCAGGCCCTGGGCGAGATACGCAACAAGGACCCAACACAGGCTGCGGGCAGTTGGGCACGGGTAACTGTCACAGGCCCTGGGCCTGATTGGTTCAGACTGGGGCTCAGCCACCCGGAGCCTACCGGAAGCTTCTGGGCCGGGGCCCGGTGCAGCCAGGTTGCACGCAGCAGGCAGGCCACTTCCATCTAGGAAAGTGCCTGCCCCCGCATTCCTCGTTCGAGCACTGGCTGCATGCTGCGCAAGCGCTGCTGCTCTATACGCTGTGCAGCGCTCACGCACTCACGGGTGAGCTGGATGAGCAGGCAGCCATAGCCGAGCTGCGCTGCTGTATGCTGGATGGGGCGCATGGTGGTCCTTGGGTGCATGTGGCATCTGTGAGTGGGGGATCGAGGTTGTGAGTGATACGAGAGAYATACCTGGTGCTTGAGGYGAACRGCATTGGCCGAGATCTGCTYRTACTTCGRGGAGCTGTTGACRTYACCAGCRGCATTGTAGATAGGCTAGATAGGATCTGCCATTTGTAGTCTGGGCGCAGAGCGCCAGATAGGATGTCGACATTGGTTCTTTGTTGATGATGATGAGACTATTTGAACATTGTCACTTATGAGCTTTTGATGTGCGCTTATTTGGTGGGGCTCGTGTTGCAATTCTACTTTTGGTTCGAGGTCACGACTATCTGGTCTCATGTGTATGATGCTGTTTGGTTTCTGAAGTTCGCTATCGCTCATTTTCCTTGCAAAATGTGCGGCGTAGAGGCTGTGACGGACAAGGTTTTTTACCATCTAGGACGTAGAGGGAACGGATATATATTCGCAGGGGATGTTGAACCGGCTACAGCTTGAGCAGGAGGAGTAGAAGGGCTGTAATGGGCGAGTGTTGTGCGGCCATCGCGCAATGTGGTTTTCTGTGAGATGTAAACTCCGACTACATTATTTTGAGTAACTTGGGGGTGACATCTGGGTGGAAGGGCTGATGTGATGTAGGGCTGCCAAGGGGGCCATGAGGGATGCCAGAGAGGTGTCGAGGGCAATGATGAATGATTCCCAAGGGGATGAGGGCATGCATTGAGGTTGGGTATACTGGCTCAAATTTTGCAAAAGGTACTGTGGAAGGCATCAGCAGGAGCTGTGGTCTAAGGGCAGGTCGGGGGCTGACAACTGGGTGCAAGGGGTGATGAGGGGGTGCCAAGGGGTGTGATTAGGGATGCCAGAGAGGTGTCAAGGGCGACGATGGATGATTGTCAAGGGGATGAGGGCATGCATTGAGGTTGGGTTGCACCAATGGGCCTAGCTCACCAATGGGCCTAGCTCAGTTGGTACACCCATGAACCGTGAAATACAGACCTGAGTTCGAATCCTGATGCAATCAGATGAGCACAATAATGTAATTCGGAACTGCCTGGGGCCGGTCAGCTCAATGATGATATCTCAAGGTCGTTGCCCTTTTTTGGGGGGAAAAAGAAAACATGCACGCAATCTGATGAATACAGCTTTGCAGGACCAAAGATGTATTCATCTACAGTATCTTCACTGTCTACTGTAGATAGGCAACAGCTCCGATAATCCTTCCTCTCTCTCTCTCTCTCTCTCTCTCTCTCTCTCTCTCTCTCTCTCTCTCTCTCTCTCTCTCTCTCTCTCTCTCTCTCTCTCTCTCTCTC